TGTATATAAATCCACATTTCAAACATACAAAAAAAAAAACCAAAGTTTGTCACTGCTATTATTTTTTTTCGTTGCCGTATGGATGTAAATGCATATTGCTCATCGTTAGCGAATTTGATGAAAGACTTTAATATTAAATAGTGTCAGCGGCGCATTCGCATTTCAAAAACGACACATAAGTACAAATAAGTTTGATTTTTTTATTTATTTTGTGATTCCATAATTTCGTTATTATTTAGTTTAGCCGCAGCCTTGGCACTACGTCTTGAATTGCTTATCTTTGTTTTTTTTTAATGTGTTCTTTAAGTAGTTTTTATAATAATAGTTTATGGTCTTTTTAATGCATCGTCCTTGCATCGTTTTGTTTTTTATTTCTTTGATGTCGAAATTAGTCTCTTTAGATTGTTGAATACTCATCGCTTTTGTTCAGTCGCTTTTTAAAATGGTGAATTCATGCCCAACTTGGTGCCAAAGTCTAGTCTTGCACGCCGTTGATAACGCGTGTTTACCCTGTGACAAAAGCAATCGCGAATTCATTAAAAAAAAAAAAATCGATTTTAAAAACAAATTATTGAGAAACTCACTTAATTTCCTGCCACTTGCATATTTCTGTGATAGTCAGACTTATCAAACTTCCACAGTAGAGAAAAACTATTGCCGGCCACATGCCACATGCCTCTTTGAAGTAGGTGTCGTGCAGGAAAATCTGCACTGCACAAACAACGACATGCAGAAGTAGTGTGCAGCTGCAGGTGAAGAACCAAATGCTATTGCGGAACGGATTGCGTTGCCACAGCGAGTGATCGCGATGCACGAAGCTGGCAGAAATCATCACTGAAATATGAAAATGCTTTCAATTATATTTGCATAGCTTAAATAGTTACTTTGCAAATTTTGGATGCTTACCAAAATGTACTAAAATGCCAAGAAATGAGAAAATGCGCGCGATATGCAAATTTATATGAAATTTCTCTTCGTCAATGTCCATGAGTTCGATGGGATGTGCCATAAATGTACAATAGGCTAAAATCTGTTGTGGAATGAAAGCAGGAGGAAAGGTTAATGGTGGGTAGCAAGTATAAGTACATTATCTATGTTTAGTTGTAAGTTTACATGACTGGCCTTAGGACTTAAATAGTATTTAAACTTCATACATTTTTAATATTTCTGATCAAAGCATCGGCGCAATATTATATTTGCATGCATTATTCGTTAACGTTATTTTCATCGACAACGAGTTATATTCGCTAAAATTCGTTATCGACATGGTATTTTTTGCTTTACTTATATATAAGTATATATAGTAATAATATATATATTGATATATTATGATACGATATGAATATCGATATCGTTATGAGCTTACTTATCGATATAATTTTCGATAAGTTTGTCCATATAGTATCGATACCTTAATCCACATTGTTATCGATATACATATGTGAGTAAATATTCTCTGATATAGGCCCTGATATATTTGTAGGCATCTTGGCGATACTTTCATAGAAAATCTTGTGTAATATGTTTAGTGATACAGTATTCACCGCTATTCCTTTGGATTCCTTTGGATACCTTTCGAGGCCCCGAGCTCATTTATCTCAACTGGTCGATAGCGGTCAAATTTTCCTATCTTGAATTCCATGCGAAAGACTTTCTCAACTCGATGAACTATTCTAACTTTGTACTAACCAGCTATGGAGCTTATACACAACTAATAAGCGCATCTCAGTTAGGATAGTTTGTCTGAGAGCGCTTAGTCAATACAAAGTTAAGATAGTTCATCGAGTTAAGATAGTCTTTCGCACGGCATTCAGGATAAGAAAGGTTGAGGGCTATCGACCAGTTAAGATAAAGTATCTCGATTTATCGATAATGCTACTAAGCATCACTTCCGCTTTGGGACGACTAATATCCGTATTTCTTTTAAATATTTAGTCTGTTCCTTTGAACTTCGGACTAACCTATGGAACTGTCAAACTACAATTTTACTCTCTAAAGTGAGAGTAAAAGGAGAACAGATGCAGAAGTGCACGGGAACGCAAAAAGCACTATTTCCTGTAAAAACGTCAGTCGGTTTATTCACATGTCATTGGTACAACACTGATTTGGCTGAAATATCACTAAATAATTATTAAAAGCTACACATATTCAAATATTTCGTTGTTTACTTCCATTTTTTTTTTACAAATATAAGGTTCCTTGCTTTCACCGCTTTCTGTTTTTGTTTGCACATGCAAATCAGCTGATCGTTTAACACTTTTCATGAACTTACAGGAAAAAAACTCCGGACTACATCCTGTAACTTCTGACTAGGAACAGTTGCTCAGTTACTCTCATAAGTGTTCCCACTTTCAGGTTTTATGTCAATAGGAACGACTTTCTGTAAGTTCTGACTAAATCCTGTAAACCGGACTGCTATTGGAACCGACTAATTTTGTCTACATATATGTATGTACATATTTCAGCAGAGTATCTAGTAGATAACATCCGATTTTATAAAAAATCCAACTTCAAATATCTTTCTTAAAACGTAAGCTTATGCTAGTCTCTTCAACATACTCACCAACACCAAAATGGGCGCAATGAACTTGCAGCCGTAACACCAAACCACAAAACCAAATACGCGTGTGTCATATTCAGTTTGCTTCTTGCCCGTTGCACGATTCATAATCTTTGGGTCGACATCGATGTGCGCTAGAGCGAGAGCTATTAACGGCACCGGTATACTCATCAAATAGATAACCATGAGTGGCGTCAGCAGCGGTGGCAAGGAAAGGCAAGCACTCAAAATGTTAATCACCGAAAGCGCACCAGCACAGCAAGCCCAGTACTGTATGCAATTCCAGAGTCCTGAAGAGAAACGACGCGATAGCTCGATAATGGCTACCAGTGACAAAGGTTCATCGCGGCACACCGATATGGAACATGGCAAGGAGTTGAGTAGTCTACTTAAATAAACAGGCGACACAGTATTGCCCGTTGATTGCATTGGACGCATTTGCGGCTCGTCATTGCCATAGAAGCCGCTCTCGAGCAGCTCTTCGGTGGTGTAAGGCTCATGACTGCCATACTTCTCTTCGCCATTGAGGTCTTTTTTCAAGCGTAACAAACGCAATTTGTTGTTAGTTAGGTTTCCCTCCGTGTATGCGGGAATATCTTGGCAAACTTGTGGGTACAGCGG